GGGGCTGTCAGCTGGCGACAATACAGCGGACTGTCCGTGTTAGAAGTTAAATTAAGGAATTAAAAGTTTGTTTTCCTAATGTCGAGAAACACAAAGTGGAATCTTCACGCTAAAGCTTTCCACGGGCACTACTTGAGCTAAGATTCACCTCTTAAATGAGAATTACGCTAGGACTATTATAAAAAAACTCCAACATTTAGCATAGCCTTTTTTTTTTTGTGTGTTCTTTGTCAGCTGGTCGGTCAGTGTTTTCACGGTGGATTTTCAGCCTTTGTCCAACTGATGAAATGCGAAGAATATAGCAAGACAGTGGGGAAGAGGAGAACACACATACAGAAGAGTTGCTATATCCCCCCCTATGCACCATCCTCCCCCAACAACACCCCACCCATGTCCATGGAGACGTTATACAGGTGATGTGAGAGACAGACAGGCAGACGGCTGGTCTGCGATGTCTGTCTGGAGGCATCACTGGGACTCGATGTGCTCCAAAGCTCGAGGTGGAGGTGGCTCTCCTGGGCCTGGCATGGCTGATGACCATGCAGCGAGATGGGTGGGGAGAAGGGTCAGTTGGAGGAGGAGAACAGCTGTTCCAGCTCACCAGTGGGTGGCGGTGGTAGCCAGCTGGGCATTGACTGGTTTTCCCCTTGGTCGGGATCAGGTTTTGGTTGAGGACCTGAATTTTGTGTCCGCCATCGACTCCACCGTGTTCTCTAGGCCTGTCAGGAGACATTTTTTCTCACTTTTGTTTTCTCTTTTTGTCTTGGTGGCTTTTTCTTTGTTATTCTTGTCTTGCTTCAGGTCGGTGTTGGATTTGTATTTGCCCGTTTAGATTTCGTTTTATTCTGGGATTCTGGGATTGTTGTTAAAGAGAGATGTCATCTGCTCCGTGAGTGACCATCAACTGTCCATGTTACTGCAGTTTTCTGAGGAGAAAAAAAAAAAAAAAAAAAAATAGATTAGGTAAATATGGCGACAACTAATTTAAGAACATTTAACACAGCAGTGACATTTTACCTAAAAGCCCTCCTCTAACTCTCTACAGAACAAGTTTCGAGCTGCAACAATGATTTTGGTGGTTAAAATGACTATGCTAACAATGTTTACTTGCACTATTGGGGAAAAATAGACTTACCGTTGAGTCCGTCCGCCTCTTGTGTGTCGAGAAAGGGTGCAGGACCCCAAACACGAACTGTGCCGTCATCTGAGGCGGAAGCCATGAGTCCCGGGATGGCCGGGTTCCAGCTCACACAGTTAACGGTGCGCGTGTGGCCCGTCAGCTCAGCAATGGGAAGTTCGCCACGCCGGTGCCAGATGTACACTTTGTGGTCTGTGGAGAGGGGAGGACAGAGGCCACAAAGCAGGTGGAAGTAAATATATTCAGTACACGGGAGGAAATATGAGAACACATGGATAAATGACAGATTAGAGCAAAAACATGAAAGAGGAAATTCTAATATTCTGCCAAGGAAAAAATGTATGTGAAGTCTGATCGTATGAGTCAATACTACAGCACTAATCACCAGTGATCCTGTGTAACAAGCTGGAAGACAAAGATTACTCAGATCAGCATCATATAACATCACACTGAGCGACGCCTTGTAATGCTCTCTGCTTGTTATACTAAACAACTAGCACAGCAAGATCCTTGACTCCCAAAGTCCACAGAACAAGGAGAGATATTCTCTCTCTCTCTCTCTAAGTACTTCAGTTTATTACAAAGAGACATACCGTTTTCCCTGTCAATATTTTTGCCTTGCAGTGTTCCCTGACTGTACCTTCGCTGCCACTGGCAATAAAGTCTTCGTTGTGTCCTCCAAAGCAGGAGTGGATGGTGTAGAAGCCCTGGGTCACACCTTGGTATTTCCTCACGAGCACTCGGTCCTGAAGGTCCCACAGGTGCACTCCCTACAAAAGGTAGTAGAGGGATAGCCTATGACTGCTGAAGCGTCCGGCATAGTGTTTCTCAACACAAAGTGTTCTTCAGAAACTTGTATCGATGACAGTGGAGTTAGTCAAAAGGCTTACCTGAGTTGCTACATTTAACAAAGCTAATCTTCCGTTCTTTGAAACAGTAAAAGACATAATGGGGTGGTCCTCCTGAACTCTGTGAAGGACATGTAAACAGGCAGTCAGGCACTGTATTGACCAATGCAAACATAAAAAACACATGTGGAGGGACAGTGACTGGGTAGGGGCAGTACGGGGACTATTAGAGCTGGTACATACATGTTTCTGTCCGTAAGGTCCTCGAAGTTGTACCCCCGGATACGTTGGTGGGTGTCCGAGGCCAGCACTGCTCTGCCATCACCCAGGCACCACAGGCACTGCACTCTCACGCCCTCCCAGGAATCCAACAAGTTACCGTCCAGGTCCTGACAACACAGACAAAAGATTCCTCATCTCTTATTCTTGACAGGGGAATGAAAACATGGGCATAGTATGGTGACTGTGTTTAACAAACACAACCGGTCAGATGCCACCACAGCACAACAACCAGACTATTTAGAAAAAGTGAAGTTGGAGGAACATGTAAGGTCAAACTGCATTCCTTCCTCTCAACATGTGACAGGTTTGTGCATTTTGGCATTTCTACTGCAGCCATTTCTGGAGCTCATTAAAATGTGTGTGAGACAAGTTCAAATGTTCATTGCTAGCATACACGCATCATCAATTATACAGAGTCATGCGCAGCAGGCCTAGCTAAACACATCAACCGTCCCAAACCCTTCCTGAAAGAAATGGGTTCGCCGGGTTCCTGGCTAGAAAATCAATATACACAAAGATCCAATTATCTCGAAGCAACCTGCTTAAAGTCATCAATTCAGCATGTTTAACAGCTCTCTCTATACATTTTTTTTTTTTAAATTTATTTATTTATTTATACATTATAACAATACTTTTCGGGGAAAATGACCCATTCACTTACACACTGATAAAACTGTCCCCTCTGTCCTCCGGTGACAAAGCGTTTGCCATCAGGGTTCCATGCCACACTGGTCAGACTGTCTTCGTGGGACTGGGACATTTTGGTCCGCAGCTCCCCCGTCTGTTCATCAAGGGGATTGGCAGAGACAGATGAAAAATAGAGGGGGGGGGGGAGACAGCAAGAATAAAACATTAAGTCAAAGTGGGGGAGGGGTGGATATAATGGCAGGGGAGGAGAGGTCATTGAGTACACAGCCTACAGAGTATCTATGGGAGGGTTAAGGCATGTTTTTCTTTTCTGCAATCTCAAGTATTTGACATCACCGATCAATGCTTTTGTGAAAAATGTAACTCACATGAAAACTGGGGTTTTTACACGGAAACACATTTGTTTAAAGGGTATCACAAGTCCAACATTATGTACAGTGGGGTATGAAACATGTAGAACTATTACCTGAACATTCCAGAGCCACAGCTCAGAGCAGTCATCGGGTCCACAGGCGATCAGGTAGGTGTCATCGGGACTCCAGGCTAAATAGGAGACACCGTATGCATGACCCTCGAGGGTCCGCAGCAGCTTCAACTGGTGGCTCTCCTACACAAAGATGGGATGAAGAGGATTATGATGAAATTAATTCTCACACACTGAGGGCTGGGCCCTGTCACTGTAAAAGCCCTGACCACCACATTCCTGCAGGGTCAGTTTAGCTTTGGACTCATTTAAAAAAAAAAAAAAAAAAAAAAGGAAAAAAAGTGTGTTTATTTAGGTATTTTTTAAACACTCACCGGGTCCACTTGCCAAATAATGACTGTAGTGTCTTTGGAGCCGGTGGCTAGTTTGGTGCCGTCATTTGAGAATTTGCAGAACCACACCTCGTTGCAGTGCTCCGTCAGTATCTGTTGAGTGTAACAGGGGAACTGCTTCCTGCGATATGGAAAAAGACCAAACGGTTAAAATGTTCATGTTGCAAGGTTTACACTTATAGAACAACACGAGTAGTGCAGCCATATTGGATTAGTAAGATGCTAGACATTTAAATCTCAATGAGGCTGCCTAACAAAACAAAGATAAAAAATAAAAAGACATAAAAGAGAGGGTAAACGAGTTAAGACTTCTGAAACAAAGCAAGGCTTTCAGTGCCTCAACATGTGAATAGATGCTGCAGTTTGATAATCCAAAATTGAGGCCTTGAGGGGCCTGAGTAGCATGCTAGCTGTGCAGTACCAACCTGCTGCAGACATGATCGAGGAGGAGAGAGACCGAGTCCAGATTACTGTCCAGCTTGGTGTTGTGATAGAGGCAGCGGTCCCTCTGCAGCTCCACTGCTTGCCGCAGGAGGGTCTGCATCCGCCGAGGGGGCAGCATCACAGAAGGTGGCAGGTACGCTGCAGAGAGATAGAAGCAGACAAATGGGTTATTAATGTAGTGCCATTTTAGTAGCGTTGTAGATATGCAAAATGTGTGTGTGTTAGCTCTAGGGGGTTAGTGTAAAGACATGTTTCCTCACTCTGTAACTTGTCCAGCAGTCTGCAGCGTGACGCGGTGCCCTTGCCCTCCCACTCTGCCTTGGCCTTCAGGTCCTCAGCATGGCTGCACATAAGGTACCTGTAGGAAGACACACACAAAAAAAAAAAAACATACACAGTAAGAAATACAGCAAAATAAAGTTACATGTTGACAGGTTACCAGCCAGAGCAGGAGCACACAATACTGACAACACAGTGATTAGTGTGTTAGGAATAATGCTGCCTGAATGAGGAAACAGTGCGTTGTTTGCAGTTATTTTTTGAGGAACGAGCTGACAGAAATGCAACGACAGATTTGTGAAGACAAACAGGCTTGTCGGCAGTGTAGATGATGGATCACAGGAATGTCAGTGGAACAATTTATAGTATATGGATATTGGACAACCAAATTATTTACAAACTAGAGATGATGGAGGAATATTGATCCAAACCATTGATTTGAACAGGCGGTGAAAGACAAAAACAGAATCAGGAGTTAACAGTCAAACTATTTTTTAAAGGCCACATGATTATTGTCAATAGTCATGCTTCCCCTCACTAAAGATAAATACACATCTCTACCGAAAACAGGCATTCTATCCTAAAAACATTGCTGTTACTTAAGAGATGTACTAACCAGCCTCCATTAAAACCCTGGCTCTATAGTTGACCCAGAGGTGGTCGCTTTATAATTACAAAGCTATCTAAGCTCGTATGTGTGTAGACAGGGTGAACTGGTGGACTGCAGTGACACAGATGCAGTATCAAACTTGTAACCGTACCCGCTGAGTACGTGGATGCGATCTGTGTTGTACTTGAGCGGCGTCAGCTCTCCCCGGAGCACCTGCAGAGCCTCCAGGACTTTGCCATCCTCCAGATATTCTAGGTACTTCTGCTGCAGCAACAGGAACTTCATACGCTACGTAGAAGAGGGACACAAGTACAGAGAAGAGACTTTATATTAAAAAAAATGAAGAAAAGAATGACAAACAAGCTGATAATACTGCGCCAGGTTTCCTGTTGCTATTGATAAGAAACGATTTCAACCACTGGTCCAACAGCTGGTCTGCATGACTATAGAAGGACATGAAAAGATTCATGTTTCGAGGGTTAAAGCTGTATCAGAACACATTTATAGATGTTAGATATGGTAGACATGTGGTAATGCCAATAGCCTACTTCCTTCATACTGAAGACCACTGGCATGTGTTTACCAGTCACTGCTGGTCAGCATTAAGACTTATCAAGAGTCTCTGTCTCATCTCAAGTATGCAGAATGAGCTGTAGCCCTAACAACAGTTAAATCTACTACACATAAATATACGAGAAAACATCCGCCCACAAAGGTCTACAAATAAAAGAGTGCTCGAGCACACAGATACCTCCCAACTCTCTCCGACTGATCTGCCGACAAGAACTGCAGTGAAAGTCATGTTGACAATGACAACACGAACCTGCTACTGCTCCAGACCTAAAATGGCTACCCACAATGCACTTGCAGTTGAAAATCAACAGCTGTAGTCATTCTCTCAATAACCCAACTGGGGATTGCAGTTAGACAGACTTCTGACAGAGCAGCAGGCTCTGAGACACATGGGGCCACTTTTGAAGCTCATCTTGTCTGCTAATTAGCATGCTAGCTGGGGCCAATTAGCCCCATTTCTAATACTGTACACTATCAAACAAATCTTAAAATGTTATCACTTTTCAGCTTGGATGCAGTACATACTGTTAGAATGAATATGTGATGTAGAACTGGGACATAGCTCGGGTTATACACTTGTATTAACATCTAAATTAAAATAATTTGTAACGCTGACATTGAGCTTTTTAAAATTCCAGTATATTGGCTGATAGTTGAGTACATTTTCAAGTATTCCTTATTTAGTTTTATTTGAATTGTGACAATGATATATTATGTACTAAAAAATATATATTAAAATTAAAAGTAAAACTCACTAATCACTAGTGCACAATGTATATAATGGCAAAAGCTTGAACCATTTAAAACATATTTGGTCATTTCTGTACTGTGATTGCTTCATATGCATCTGATTTATACAATATATCCGCAACACCCCAAGATCAGCCAAACAGTACGGCTGTAGTTGCATGGAACATATAAGACAAATCAAATCAATAAATAAAAGTCTAACCTAATTTAGCTTAAAATAACAGAATGATGCACTCATTCCATGACTCTAATGTGGTTTCCATCCTGCTGTGTCACCCAGAACATTTTATTTAGCTTTTCAGTGTTCCCCAACCAGAAGCTGCTGCCCCGCATTCTAACTGTACCATTCTAGAACCTCCAGTTGTGCCTTCTAACTGACCGGCTGTCATTCAGTGCAGTTCAAGGGGAGCTTACCACAATGGCATTGGGAGAATGCATCAGTGCTCTCAGCTCATTGAGATCATTCTCAGCCTGGATCAAAACAAAAGGGGAGAGACAAGAGAGAGAAATGGTCAGCTCAGCAGTTTCCATGCATGGACAGGAGACAAAACTAATCACACGAGCAGTAATACAGATCTTATGGTCACATTCTTCTTTCTTGTTTAAGATGAGTCAATTGAGGATATAAGAATGAGTCTGATGACAACAAAACATCTTTATGTCTCTCAAAACATAACGGCCTCTTGCACCATTTTGCCAGAAGAAAAACTAGACTTTGGGAATCAAAACAGTTGTTGGTTCACGGTTGGTTTGTGGAGAGCACAACCCTACATGCCACATCCAAAAATGTATTCCCTTTGGCTCAGTGCTGGTGTTAATATTCCACCCTGCAGTTCTGACATAGGGTCATTATTCCAGAAGATTCACAGTGCCATTTTTAATGAGATGTGTGCTTTTCTATTTTAGAAGCCTCCGCTCTTAAATGTTGAAATGAAAGTTATTCTGCTGCAGAACAGGTTAATACAGCTGAGAGAGTTGATTTAAAAGCCAATTACACAAACATGTCTTGATTTTTCTGTTCCGTCATTAATCCTTGACATGAAACGCATGAATTCTGTGCTTGAGGGTTAAAGCACTTCAACAAAGCTATGTGCTCCATAATTGCCAGTTCCAAAGTCGAATAGCATGTTAACAGTAAGATCTGTTAGTCAAGAAAACAGTTTCACTGGTACTCATCAGAAATGTGTATAAAATGCATACAACACATAACAAATAATACTATGAGCTTGTGCAACTGTGGCCCAATGCAGATCACTATAAGAACTTTGCTTATGCTTTCCCAGGGTTAGGGTTAGGAAACAGGAATAATATTTGCTTTTGTCAATAAGACATATGAGACAATCTGCAGAGATATTTGGATGCGGGTTTCTGGACTTAGCAAACAAGCTCTCCATCTTACAGTAGAATAAGGACACTCTTAATCACCAATTCCCTGTCTATCAAGGTGTGTATTTAATGTATCTCAAGACCAACCTTGTCCCACTCTCCCTCCATGACATGGTTGCGGAACCTGGTAGCTGAGGAGTGTTCTAGTCTGCAGCCTGATTCCTGCATCAGCAGGTCCACTGTCTGACTGCAGAGACACAGAGAGAGGGGGGGGGGGGAAGAAAGGCAGAGAAAGTTAGGCTGGAATATAGACACTAGACAAGTTGAATAAAAGAAAAAGGAGAAAATAGCTTTAAACTGCATTTAAAAAAAAAAAAAAAAAAAATCATATTTAACTTAAGAATAAAGTGCAAAGACTGCATTTCAAAGCCAAGCGTAGCTCATTCGTATGATGTTAAAAAGTTAGCTCATCGTGATTATATAAAGTGGTATTTCTAGGCAGATTAATAAACTTTTCTTGATTATCTCATCACCTATATGGCATCTGGGCTATGTTTACAAGGATAGCAAATAGGTAAATGTGAGATATGCAACAATCATTTTAGCACCGGGACAATAATAACATCATTTGCTGACAATAAAATTAAGGCACGTTCATGGCCAATGCGAGTCCGAGCAGTCGTGTTACCAGAGCAGGATTTGTGGACAGTGGGAGGTTTATTAACATGAACAGAGCTTCCACTGCAGTTGACATCATCCTCTCAGCCTGTCAACCTTTCAACCATGAACCATAACCATCTGTCCAAGCACAAGTCTGCTGAGATGTGTGTGTGTGTGTAAGAGAGATAATGAAAGTGGGTTGGGGATGGGGGGTGGCTGACACCTTCAGCATGATGACATCATTCTCAGGTATCAATGGAGTGGCGCAGCAGCTGTGTTGAGCCTCTCATCCAGCTGGCTGCAACACTGATTTCTCTTGCATTTCCCCAGCTGAAATGTAGGGGCTCTGTTTCATACCAGGCAATGTCATGTATCTCCCCCCCCCCCCCCTCCCTCCAGGCCCACCCTCCTTATAAACATAGCCATGTTAAGCTGTCTTTTATAATGCCCTGTAATGGCAGCTACACTTTCTCAACTGGATGCCATAGATCTGCAGATACACAAACGGTGGCTACCACAGCCACTTTGAGTGCGAACGTTTAAGATACATTTCTCGAAAACCCCACAATGCTATAATTAGATTCTCAACACAGAGCTTCCACCTAAAAAACAGCTGCTAGAAAGCGCATTCTTCAGCCGCCATAAAACCAACCGATTCTGTTCAATCCAGGATCCAAATGTCGCCCACGGTATCGATTGCTGTCTTTAAATAAGTAGGGCACGATGCATGTTGACACATTGCTCTGACACAGTGACAGCGTCAAAAATATAAAAGACATTAATCTAGGAAAGAAGTGATCGTGTTTATGAGACAAGCTGTGTAAAATGGTGATGCATAAACAAGTTGAGAAAATGACAGCTCAGGACGTGCAATACTAAAATAACCAGGACGGTTTTCAGAACCATGCTGGTTGGTACAGTGTGGCACACATATTAATGTTACATGCACACGGTCTTGTAAAAAAAAAAAAAATATATACAGCAAAGAACATGATTAAAAAAAACCATCAACCATCGGGGCGAAAACCGACATTGGCAATCCACTAACATTTCCTCCGCACATTTTTGCAAAAGGATTGACACGCAAAATATATAGCATTACACTGCAAACTCGATAATCCTGCTTGTGTACTTATAGCTAAGACGCTAATTCAAGTTTAAACATTCGCATGACATTCATTGTATGCTTTACAAACCATAAAAAAATAAAATAAGCGGATCTCTGGATAAACGTTAGTAATAGATTATGTAATGGCTTTTATTCAGTGCGAAATATATATAACGTTAGTTAACGCATCGTGGCATGACTGGCGTATGAAACATACTTTAACTTAAGATGGATTTGTTAAAACAGCCAAATGTTAAATTTATGTTTGTGTTGTTTTAATGTCAGTACATAACACATCAGCGCAGGCTAGTGCTGTTAGCTATGAAGCTAACTGTTATTGTGCAAGATGGACCCCTTCTTTCTACCAACTGCCGAGCTCACAGGCTAACTGCCCCATCCCCCCATGTTTGTGTCTGTTAAGCGCACTAATAGCGCTTTTTTGCCATCTGCTGTTTGGCAGTTTCACGGGAAACACCAGTAATGTTAGATTACACTTCACACGTTCAACGCAAATGTTATGTGTTTTATTGTACGTTAGTTTTCTTCCCCTGACTTTCAATAAACTTACTTCAGCCCTAGTCCGTGGAGATGTTGCCCTATTAATCGTATGACATCTTCCTCCGCCTGCGATAGTCGTTTCTTCTTTTTCAGAGAGCCGACCTCCGAGCCCGAAGCCGAAGCCGAAGCCGTGGAGGAAGCCGAAGTCCCCGAAACGGGCCCGGTCGAAGACCCGTTACTGGTACCGACACTATTGCCGTTGTCCGTGCTGGAGAGGAGCCCGTTGGAGTGGCTTCCTCCGGCCGAGGAAGACTCCCCGTTTTGTGCGCTGTTAAGGCAGGATAGCTCTGAAGATTCTTGTCCCTGTCCTGCCCCGTTTGCCTGCATGCTGCTGCTGAGGTTATTGACAACACTTCGGTTAAAGTGGATGGCAGAGGTGGCTTGAGAGTGAGGAGAGTGAGTAGCAAGTCCTAAGACAATTCCGGATAGGCCTGTTATAACTGCTGAAGCCCCGGGCTCTCCTGCTCCCTCCGCCGCCGAGGCTCGGTGCTTCTTCCGCGGGGGCGGCGACGCTCCGCCGGTGTCCGAGTCGGAGGAGGAGGAAGCGGAGGCCAGAGTTTCCTCACCGAGAGCGGCCGTGGTTAGAAGCCGGCGGAGCTCCGGGTGGGAAATTAAGGTGCAGCTTCCAGATTTGAGGCCTCGTTGTCTGGCTAAGAACGGACTGTCACTATGAGAGCGCTGTCAGTTAGCCCGTTTTTGTTGTTGTTTCTCTCAAATCAGCTGCAGTTCTAATGGAGTCCTGACGTAACCGGAAATTCCTACACTACCAAGCTTCCGGGTAGAATTATAATCCATGGGTGGTGCATGAGAACCGAGTTAGCATTATAATTATAAAACAATAACAAATCACATTCAAATTATTTAATATACTTTATACTAATACAATTTCATTTAATATACCCGGAATTTAAAATTGGAATAACGTCTTAACCGCATATTGAATTTCCACAGGTGTGCAGTTTTTACATTTTTAATTTAACCACTCATAACTCAATAAATCATGTTGCCCAAAATATAATAAAAGCAGCAACAGCTTGTCATGACCATATTTAAATATATAACTGTAGCATTTCCCCTTGGGGACAATAAAGGTCATATCATCGGATATCACTTTGAACACCTTCAAACTCTGCAACATTGGCATACACCACTTTAATATATTTGTTTCAGCCACTTCTGAAAAACCATAAAAACGCATAACCGTTGTCATCATCATCATCATCATTATTGTTGTTCAAATCATTTTATGATTATTTTCATTTGGTTAATATTCATATAGAAAGAAACACCAACATAAATAACATTTTTTGTCAGCAGACATTTCAACTTGACTTAGCAGGAAAAGCACAGGTGTAACAAATAACACTATTGTTGACTCTGCTCCATTAAGTGTCAAAGTAAGCCATTCTAGTGAGCCAGCCTGCACAATCTGGCAGATTGACTTTGTAGTGGTGCCATGCTCTTGTGGACATTTAGAAGTGTGTGCCTGTAACTGATCAACCCAGGCCCATTTCTAACTTGTCCAGGATAACTAACTGACAAAGTCTGATCAAGGTCTTTTTGCCGTCATACAGTATGTGTAAATGAAGGAATTAATCAAAGAATGACTGAATAATCAAGAAACAACTGGCCAGGGACATCCATTGTATTTATGATTAGATCACCGTTCCGGCACTGTTGACCTGCCTTTGTCTTATAACAGTGCATACCTTTAGTATGGTAATATAGTAGTAACATTACAATACCAACGTGCTAACATTTAGCATGTAACATTTGGCAAAGACTATTTCTTATTTTTACTACAAAACAAAATTCAACTGCATATATAATAGGTGACACTGAAATCATCACTTGAGAGATAACTTAGAATTTTCTCTTTGTTTGAATTTTTATGTCGGTAAATAATTAGCAATATACGATTGATCCCCACTGGTAGTTTTTATTAGGATAATTCTCAAGACAGCAAGATCCTGCATAGTAATCTCAAAAACATAGTGCAAACATGTTTTATTAACACAATAAAAATACAGTGTGATTAAGCTACAATATTGAACAAAACTTGAGTTTAAAAAAAGAACAACAAAACCTGAGCTAAAAAAACAAAACAAAATAGATTAAACAAAGGAAAGTACTTTATATGTCTGTCCCAAGCTTGTTATTCTCATTTCAGGAGCTCTGTGAAATCATAAACTGTATTTCTGAATTATGTACAACTATACAGAATCAGTTTATCTTAATAAATTTCTTTGTGGGTGAAATGGTATTTCACAGTTGTAATGCTTATAATAGTATTGTTTTGTTGTGTTGGTCTACTTCCATATGCTTTACATTGCTACAGAGCTTATGAAAAAGATATATGTAAGTAACCTGTGTATATGAGAGAAAATTGGACATTATGCCCAGGCTTATCTTTTAATTAACGGCTTTTCACCAGGTGAGAATATTCAAAGTTCACCGACTTGGTGTGGAAGGGCAGTGGTCACTGGACCAGCATTGCTACTGGGTTTGTCTTTTCCTTTCATGAAGAAGGTTAGCAGCTCCCCTTTCCCTTTGACAAATATGGGCCCTCTCCGGATGAAGCGGAAGCCATACTCCTTCAAGATATCGTAGCAGTCCTCCACCACCTGAGGGCAGAGCAGGACATAACATTTAAAGGAGATGGACAAAAACTGAAATTTGAAGTTGAAAATGAGCATGACATAATTAAAAAAAGAGTAATAACAGGAAACATTCAAGCATGCTGTATGTGTGCTTTTGTGTCTGTGCTACCTGGATGTTTCCCATCACTCCGGTGGACTCCATTCTGCTGGCCACATTGACTGTGTTGCCCCAGATATCATAGTGAGGTTTACGAGCTCCAATCACTCCAGCCAAAACTCCCCCCTTATTCAGACCTGAAGGGGATCAACAAGGAAACATGGTACATGTACACGCTTGCAAATGTGCTTAGAGACATGCGCAGCCACACACACTAACCGATTTTGAGCATGAAGTTGTTGAAGGACTGTTTGTTGAGGTTGTTCAGGGTGACTTTCATGGCCAAGGCAAAGTCTGCCAGGTCAGCAAGGTGCTGCCAGCGCTCGATCATTGACTGGTCCTCTGGCTGTGGAGCAACAGCACAGTTTTCACAGTTACTATCATCATCACCACATGCAGGACCAGTTTAGATAAAATAGTGAAACAGATTGTTATACCTGCCACGAGGTATATTTATAAGATTTAAGCCGTTTAAGTGTCACACCTTGCGGTTGCTGTATCCGTTTGTGTTGCTCTCTGGGGTGAGTCCGGATGCGGCCATGTAGGTGCTGCCTATTGTCTTGATCTTAGTGATGAAGCGGAACTCATCCCTGTCTAGTAACTGGTGGAAGAAGAGCGCATCAGTTAGTAGTTAGGTATTTAATACCTGGGAGCTGGGTCTCAATATGTCGACTACAAGCTGTACAAACGCAGCTGGGACTCACGCTGTCAAAGTCGGAGATAATCTCATTGAGAATCCTGAGACACTCGAGGCCTCCGTTGTTGATGCTCTCTTCAGTGTAGAAATCAGAAAAGTTGGGGATGGAAGCAAACATCACACCTATTTCACTGTAAGACTGGCTGTACAGGTCCTACAAATGACAAATGACATGAGGTTAGCTTGCTGTGATTTAATATTGCTATATTTATTATTTAGGCCAGAGGAAAGCTTTGATGTGTAATTTTGAAATACACCACAAGATGTCCCTGATATGCAATATATTGCATTGTGATGAGGTACAGGCCTCACACACAGTGATTCATTTAATATTTTAATAAACAATATTATATTGAGTTGCTTTAGACCAGTTATCTATGTGTCCCCTGATGAAGGTGTAAGCTGGAATGACTTTTAAACAGTATCATGACCTTCCTCCTCCTCCTCCTTGACATTTCTCACTCTCTCTTTCACATTTCCTTTCTTTTTCTCCACTGCCACCCGAAAAACCAACTTCCCTTAATCATACTGTAACTTGGTACATGTTCATATGTACCTCATCTCTCTTTTTAGTGCCCAGGAAGTGTTTGGCCACGTGCTCCGGCAGCATGTTGGTGACCAGCGCTTCGTTCCAGCGTCTCATCTCAAACACCCTCTCCTTCTGGTCGTGCACACCTATCTTCCACAGGAACAGCTTCCTGGACTGATGCTCCAACTACACACACACACACACACCACAGAGGGAGTGAAAGTCGTATAATATTTAGATTACGTGAGGAAGTTCTTTGATGATTGCTTTGCCCTGTTACAGGAAGCTTTCCTCTGTAGGTGCTGACTTTAAAGGCTGGAGAAGAAACGCTGCGGGTCAGCAAAGTGTGATACAGTATGGGAGTATAGGAGACTGTGACTCACATGGCGGGCAAAGAGGTAGAAGGCAATCATCATGACAATGATCATCACGGTCATGAGGTACTTGGATGGCACTATGGATGTTCTAGAAACAAGCAGAATAATGTGTACTGGACTTACAACTGTATTTTATAAACAACAAAATAACTAAATATAGTATAATTGTTCTTTACTGGCTTATTTACTAAGTATTTTCAATAAAATGATATAAAAACACACCATTCATTGATCTACTTTACCCATTTCTCACCTGTATGAGGCAAACTGTATATAGTCATACAGGTCATATATGTCCCGCCAGCTGTAGATATTGACAGCTCCAGTTGCAGTGACGACCAGCACCATGAGGCCCAGTTTGATCAGGTGGCTGACCTGCACCAACATGGCGGTGGCAATGAGTGACATCACAGCCATGAAGCTGTAGTACTTTGGATTCTCTGCACAGCCTCGGTCACCGAGTGACTCCAGCACGGGGCCGGAGGTGCTGTTGGAGACTCGAAGGGACGGTGGAACACAGCTCAGCTGCAACATCAGAGACGAAGGGCATGAGTCATTTTTACTTAACACCTGTTATATAGCCCAGTATTAATATCTAGGACATGATGTGTTGAAACAAGTCAAATTTAAAATGTGTTTAACGCTGGCACATTTAGTGTATACGGTTGTTTTTTTTTTTACATTAAATATACTGTATAAACTCCATATTCACAATAACGCTGTTACAATGGCAACAATAGGGACAGTAGAACTACTTTTTTTTTTCTAACATTTTTGTCCCACTGTGCCTGTCACCTCCACATGGCAGCTCAGACAGAAAAATTAATGTTCACTTTAGCGTCCTCTATTCCTGTCAGACCTTGAAGGCAGCGGTGTGTGTACCAGGCTGCTCCCAGTGGGGCCGTGACAAATGAGCCAGCAGGCAGCGAGACAGACAGCTAATGGACCCCACTGGGAACATGTAGTCAGACACATAAAAGGCGGGGATGGTTTGATGAGGACAAAGTGGGAACACATGAATGGAAAGACGCACACACTCTAGGGTTGGGTGATATGACGATATATATTGTTTTTTTGCATTAATATGATGATGTACTTTAATGCCCTGGATTAGCCAAACAACGTATTTCATAATATTAAAATGTATTTTGCTTTTGTGTTATAAAACTACAATACAGTGTGAGAAAAACTGGTCATAATGCCAACCCCTAACACACACACACACACACACACACACATTCATGCCCGCAATGTATGAGAGTTATAACATTCGTACCATGTCAGCGATCACAGCCATGGTAAGAACAAATATGGCCGCCATGGCCCACGTGTTTCTGGCCCACCGCGTGCGATCGATCCACACCGAGAAAGAGACCATCCTCTTGGAGAACATCTGTGACAAACAAACCATCAGTCTCATGTCACAAATTTAATTTTACAAATCTGTTTATGCCTTTGAGCAGAATGTTTAGAGATACGACTCATTGGAAATAAAAAATTACGATTTCTATGTGTTAGTGTGCCCCTTTTTGATTGTTAACATCTGCATAGGAAGAGGTTGAAAATGTTGTTCTTGAGCCAAAAAAAGATTGGAAAGCGCTGATCAAAGACATAGAAATAAACAAATAAATACAATTATATGAATTCTGTTTCGCATCGCCACAACCATGGATGCTAATTCCCTTTCCTCACCCTGGGAAAGATGGCAGCCAGGGAGCACACTGTGAGGATAAGCAACAACACCTCTCCTATTGCAAGAGTCACATAGTTCACAGCCAACCTGGAACAAGAACACACATCTTCAGGCAATTTCCAACTTTTCCAGCATTTCTAAAGCACTATTGGTTCATATATGAATTCACAGATGTCTAAGGAGCATTCAAATGTGTGTGTATTATTATATGTAATTTGTATGTAATTGTAATAGATGTTGTAAGACAAAGTAATGTGAACTCACAGTGGGTCTATGAACACCTCCATCGCTGTAATGAAGAAGAGCACTATGATGCAGCAGCAGAAGGCCGCTCCGCTTCGCTTCTCCTTCTCTGAGGAGTAGTGCTCCTCCAACTTCGCATCCACAAAACGCAACGACAGAGGGTTGATCTGGTGATCCTTCATTCTGTGAGGAACATAGAGAGAAATTATCCGTCTAACTTTTGTAATCATCATTCTCTGCTTTTGTTATCTTTATTTTTTATTTGTCTGATTTTCTTACATTTGCTGACTTTCTCTTTCCAGCAGTTCCTGCTGCAAACGTCTGTTGATCACTCGTTCCTCGACCATCTTATTCCTCTGATGTTGTCAACATGAAAAGAGAGATTGGATAGGAAGGATTAACAAGCTCTTCATTTTCAAATAATGTCTGTGCATTTAATGGACTGGCTAAATATGTGCATGTTTTTATGTATGGGTATCAATATACTTATATGAATATACTGATACAAAGACCTGATTTTATAGTTGACATTTAAATAAAGACATTTATTCAAATTCACCTCCTGTTTAGACTCAGTGGGCGTGGATTGGGGTGAGGCTGCATTCCCATTGGTTGCTGTAGTGTTGATTAACTGGTATGAATTTCTGTTGGACAACGTGCCTGGTTTCTGAGGGTGGAGAAGCAGGGAAAACATCTATTAATAAGATTAAAATAACTAGAATCACCACCTTGCAGTTGAAGGCCTCCGCAAACCAGTCAAGTTGCCGTTTACATCCTTGTCTGTCCATCAAAATTGTCATAATTAGCATATGAATTATTGAGTTATGGCCAACAATGTATATTGTGAGGTCACAGTAACCACCAAATTCTAAGCAGTTCATCGTTGAGTAAAGGTGGAACTTTGTGCCAAATTTGAATAAATTTGCTCAGTGTGTTCCTGAGATATCACAAGAATGGTACAGACGTGAAGTCACCGTGACCTTTGAAAATCAGAAAAATTATAAGCAGGAAATGCATTATATTTAATGTAGTGTTGTATACTTTTGATTCAAGCAACGGCTAAGTTTGTGAGTTAAAAAACTAATGATCTGAAAGAATGCTTTTGATCAATAAAACCTTAATTTCCCTGAAAAGAAAGTAGTAACTCACATTTCCACTGAGCCCATTCGCCACCTGTTTAGGCACTAGAACTAAGTAAGTGTCGATGCCTTTCTCCAGCAGGTACTCGCACCTCTCTCCTCCATCCCCCAGCTCCAGTTCAAATTCTCCGTGCAGACTCTCCTTGGTGGTCTGGGAAATATGCACCCTCCTGTGTAGCACACAAACCTTCTTGAAATAAAGTGCATGAGAGAATTTGATTGCTCACCCTGACAGTGAAATAAGGCGTTCTCACCCAGGAATCCCCCCAGATTCCATCTTATTGGCTACAGTAACATCTGTGGACCAAACGTCAAACTGCCACCTCTTCTGCCCGAGCACTCCTCCCAGCACGGTGCCCGTGTGAACGCCCACACGCATGTCCACTTCAGTTTTGGTCTTCTCTCGCACGTACCTGGAGCAAGAGGGAAAGCGGAGGATCTCTGTTGTATCTTCATTCGTTCATGTCTCCTTGGCTGAATCCATATTCAAATATTGACACTGACTTTTTTTCTCTTCTATCTTTAAATCGTTGACTGCAGAAATATCCACGACCGTCCTCCTAACTCTTCACTTCTTCCTTTCCTTTATACTTTTTTCTTGTGTAAACTTGTATAACTTTTTATATATTTCTTTTAGGATTCCCTTTTGTCTCATACACAAGATACACAAATAAACAAACCATGATACCACCTCTACATCATCGCTATCCCTTCCCTTTACCTACAGTAAGCTTATGTCTTTGTTTTGTGTCTTTTGTCATATTTATGTATTTCTTTGTGAAAATAAAATCACTACTCACGAGATGGCGTCTACCATCGCTAGGCCCATCATTATGGAGCAGGCAGCGTGGTCATCCCTGAAGTCAGGAAGACCACAGATACAATAGTAACAGTCTCCGAGGATCTTAATCCTCAGTTGGTGATGTTCCTGCAAGAGAGCAAGAGAAGTTGTGCATATTCAAATCAAGTGTCGCAAAATAAATCTAGAAAACGAAATTATAAATGTAAAACCATGGAAAATGACATATCAGCTATACATCAAAGTTATAAAACGTTACCAGCACTCCTACCAACACTATACCCAACAATTTATTGTCTTGATCAAATCAAGGAAGAAAAACAAGCACATGGAGCAGTGATGGACTCGGGCTGTCTGAGAGGAATGGCTGAAACATTTAAAAAGGGCACCAGCTGCGCACTAGCATGCAAAAAGTACCGTAGTAGGCATTTCATTACATTTTCTCCACTGGAAGGGCATCCTTGAGGACACTACATCCAGTTTTCTCCACTGGAAGAGCAAACTAAAGGGCACTTCCCACCGTTTTCTCCACTGGAAGGGCATCCTAGAGGGCACTTCATCATGTTTTATCTACAATAGGAGCATCCTAGTATCTCCAGGTCCACCAGTGACATGGAGAGTACAAGAATACAGTGAACTACAACGGAGACACAGAAAAACAGTCACTCACTTCTGCCAGTGTATCGAAGCGGGCGAACAGTTCATTAAGCAGCTTTACGAGCTCCTGGGCGCTGCAGGTTGAGGACAGCTGGGTGAAGCCCACTATGTCAGCAAACAAGATACTGGAACAGAGGTGAAGAGGTTGCAATGTAACATTTAACAAGCCGTAAAAAACCGTCCCGCAACAATGAAATCATCAAAAAAAGCTGATTTTGTGATCCCGACCTGACGTTTTCATGGCGGTACATGTACATGGTGTTGAACTGCTGCTGCTGGACCTCATTCTGATCGGCCTGGGTCTTCATGCCCTGCAGCATCTCATCAGCGATATGTTTGGGCAGTATGGACAGTAATAGTTCCTCCTACATGGAGACATAGTTGAAGCACGTTGAGTTTTGTCATGTTCAGTGCTGACAGAAAGAATAAATTTGTCCCATTTGTATATGTGTGTGTGTGTCTGCATAGCATGACTGAGGCAGTAAAGGGACTCTCAAAGGATCCTGTCAACTGGTTGGCTGGGCCTTCATGTCTTCTACCAAGCCCCCCAATGTAAAGGCAATTTGGGAATTATATCTACTCTCCTTTTCTTTCTACCCTCATCTACATATTCACCATTATTCCCCATCTTTTCCACCCCTGTCTATAAACAACTCTCACAGGTCTGCTTTTTCCACAGTGAAAAGACAGTGAGAGGAAATCCAATAAAATAACGAAATTAATTAAAATAAAGGTTGGAGACAGTATAGGTTACATTATCTTAAAGTTTAATAGATTAAAGTTATGGATTACCTTCAAATTTAAAACACTGGCACCTTTGTGGTATGAGAGGAAATACATAATAGTGTAAAATGGCTGTGAAGCAGCAGTGTTGTTGTCAATTTATTCAAAATTTCATTGGAGTGCAAACCTTCCATCCCTAATATGTGACAGAAACAAATGATAGCCTACATACTAGTCAATTAAGACAATTAACTTACATAGAATTTGGCCATAATCAACATTTTCACTATAAAGGTAGCTGTAAAAGGAATGAAATAGAAAAAACAAGACTAAAGCAGATAGATAGGTTAATGAGAAGGGAAACTAATCATCAAATACAATAAACATGCTCTAAAAATATCAAATCATGTCTTCCCACAATTTTGTTCCAGGTTCTGTTGTCACAGAGCTCAAGCTACGTATATTGCTGTATTGTGTCCCTGACGGTGGCTCCGTTGGTGAAAACAAGTCTCTCTAATCAACCTATTAGCCCCGAGCTGTGCAAAGCACACAGTAATTAGGCAGCACAGGATGTTCCACAGGTGTGTTCGTGCAAAATGTGTATGTTTGCCCCAAATAAGGAAATGTATTATCTCATTAAGCAAAATATACCTGTGATTGTGTGTGTGTGTGCGCCCCACTTACCTGCTGGGTGCTCTGCTCCTCCAGCGTGAGTTTGACCCCTAGTGACTGACGGGCCTCCAAAAAAGCTGTCCTGTACTTCCTGTCCGCCATGTAGTATGACATCACACCCACCGTGGCTGCGCACAGGTTCAGCATCACGTTGGCAATGAGCTGAAGAGAGGGTCAGAGGACGCGTGTTTCGTATACATGGGTGGTTGTTAGTTTCCTCATACTCTCACTTTGTAACCATTGTCTGTAATTCTCTGTGCATGAGTCGACATGTGGAGCCAGTGGAAACAGACTCTTCAACTGTTGGATTTGGCACATTGTCTTTTAAATTGGGCATCATAGCTTCTAGATTAATCAGACAGACTAAGACTCAGAACCTATTTAGAAAACTCTTTAAAAGAAGGGACATTGTTCCAGAGAGAACAGTTCTGATGCCCTTCCTTTCAAGATACATCCATTAAAGTGTGAATTCTCGATCAAAATAGTTTCATCAAAATGTTTGGTCTCCTATTTACATTTCACTTTTGGGGCATCATGGATCACATGCTGCATTTTTATGTATTATTACCAAATTAATTTAAAATGAATTAATTTATAATGATGGAGACACAAATTCCATTTTCAAAGGGCAGCATTTTTTACAGGCAAAGTGTTATGGAATCCTTTCTTTTGTGGTGTGACACAAAGCTAACATATATATTCACCTTCTTTATCACCTGCATTTCTCTAAAACAGTGCATTCCCAACAGCTTTGTCTTGTGACCACTGCTCCAAAATAAAGTGTGGACACATCAATGCAGGCACACACCAACTCTTCCCTATTGCTTTCCACACCTGTGTGACACCCTGGGCCTCTTTCATCCTCAGGTGCTCTGCCATTTATCAACTTTACCGAGGGCCATATTCACCTGTCTCACCAGCATGGGACCCTGCAGGTTATCCTCAAACCTTTGAGACACGGTCACCCCCAGCACCAGGGTGTGTATCCCGCAGGAGATGGCTGTGAGCAGCAGCAGCGGCACCAGGTTAAGTGGGAGCGTCAGAAAGCTGCAGAAATTGAAAAAGGCATGCCAGCCCACCGCGTCACTGGCTTGGGGGAAACGCTCGTAGTTCAGACCCAGGTAACACAACACGTGGACGGTGACCATCAGCCACAGGACGTACGGCACCCCGCCGCGTAAGACTGGCGACGCGGGCAGCTTCTGCAGCCTGCACAGCCCGTAGAGCACAACGTCCGCAGCCAGCCCCACTGCGGCGACCACCACCATCGCCAGTTTGTCCGGAGTGTACACCACCGCGCACATGATGATGATGAAGCTGTTGAAGAGAGCAGCGAACACCGCCAGCACGAGCAGGTTCTCTTGTCTCTGTCGGCGAAAGTAGTTCTGGTAAATTATCTCCAGCGATTCTGGCGCAAAAGTAAGGCGCACCGCGCGCGGCAGGCAGCTGCAGCAGCTCGACTGGAGCACGGTCACCTCACGCGACCGACCCGCTCCGTGACCCGGATCGTTGGGTATCTGCACTGAATACTCCACTGAGTACTCTGCAGACTGCTCCGTGTCTGTTGTATGGAACCGGTTCACAGACATGTTGATTTAAAAAAGGCAGTCCTCTTGGTTCATGAAGTAATACTGTTGTGCATTAGTCCTGAAGTGCGCAAAATGCCAAAATCCATGAAAAAGTTGTGACTAATCCCATCTCTGTGCAACTTTTGGAGATAATTACATTGTTTACTTACTTGTATTTTTTTTTTTGCAAAAATAATTAAATCCCAGGTTGTTATCAATGACTAGTTTCACCATAGGGTATATCCACCAAAAACATGCTTACCTTTTGAAATTATTACCATGTTACATAAATCTATGGTGTCATTAACGTCCTTAAAACTATATCAGATTACAGCTTCTCACAGTCTTTGAGCTGCTGCTCTGTCCCCAGATTGTTTCAGTGGAAAAACTTCTTCTTTCTTGCACTGCGGTCCTGTGTGCTGCCTTGGTAGACCAACAAAACCCTGAGCCACAGGTGGATATCCATTTGAATGCAGCATATCATCTCTTCAGAGAGGATAATATGAGTTCATATAGGAGGGGCATCTTACTTTCACGTATAAATCCATGTTTTTCTTAATCATGTTAAGATCTGCAGAACAGACTCTACTCTAAGATGCTCTTCAAGCTACTGATGTTATTCTTTGCTTCTCTCTCTCCTCCCACTCCCCCCCCCCTTTCTAAACAGCAAGTCCTCTGTTACTGTTGCTAAGATGAAACCAAAGCCACCTTGCCATCATGTCTTGGGAAATGTGGCACTGCTGGTGTGAAGAAGTGCAGAAAAGGGATCATTACAGCTACTTTGTCAAACATGTGACCCTTTATCTTATCCTCCAGTGTTTTACCGTAATTAGTACAACGATATCGACAAATGGCAAATAAATACACATGCTTGGATAACATATATCATCCACTTTATTCATCACTGCTCGCCTCCATAATACGTTCATGGCACAATCGACAGGTTTGAACAATAAGCAAAGGTGATTTTTATGTAAAAAAAATCTAATGCAAATGAGCTCACATTTAAAATATGTATTGTATGTCAGTGTAAACCTGCAATAATGCAAACACATCTCTCACACACACATGCAAATCTTTAGAGCGTGGCCTTGGGTTCAGACAGAGATTCAAACCCAGGTCTCAATCAGTCACTGTGTTCGTCTATTGTCGGCAGAGAGCTTCCTATCACGCCACTAAGAACACTTCCCACAGCCAAAAATACAGCCACCAGAATTCCCACAGTCCCCATTTTCCCCAGAGATGCGGTAGCCAACGCTGCAGCCCCGAGCGCCCCGGCTCCGAAGGGTGCTGCTGCTGCGGTGACCGTCTCCATGCCGATCCCTTTCATTAGCTGTGGCCCCGTGAGGAGGCCCATTCGGAGATTCACCAGAGTGTTGAACGGGCTCTTTGGTGCACCCAGGAAAAATGACCATGCAGCAATAAGGGTGATTGTTAGAAGTTCTGATGTTGTTGGGAGAGTCCCTGTCAGTGCTACACCGCGCATTGCCAGAACTGCACCAACAACTACCGAACCTACAGCTGTTAAAGTTGACTTTCTAGTCTCAAACGCCTTCTTTGCTGCAACACTTGCGGCTCCTATTGACACCCCTGCAGCTGTGACTGCTCCTAACGTTGCCCCCATGCTGCTCCGGGTCCCTAAAAAAGAGCTTGATTGCAGAATGGCTCTCAGGGAAAGTGATGACATTATAGCAGCTCCCAAGGCGACCTTTCCGACCCCCCCTGGCTCCAGCCCCACCGTGGCCACTGTTCCCAGGCTGGCTCCTAGCAGCCCCGCAGACAGAAACACCACCCAGACGACCGACTGCAGCACCAAGACCACCTCCGCTTTCGACCCCTCTCCTGCTTCACCTGCCCCCAAGCCTGCAAAAAATCCCAGAATCGCCACAAAAACAGAGTAGAAGTTTAACCTCTGCAAAAGTTGGCACTCGGTTTTAGAGTTTGATCTCAGTGTCATCCTCTCTGTCAGAGCCTTTCGAAGGGCGCAAAGCACAGATATGGTCAACCCCATGACGAAGAGTCCAACCATTACACCCATTCTTCCATAAACTACACAGACGTAGAGGGTGGTGAAGATGACTGTCAGAGCTGTGATCATGTCGTTAATATTGGAGTATGAGTAGATTAAAAGGACCAGAAAGCCTTGAGCTGAGATGTAGATGTATAGTGGGAGGAGGCCGGCTGACACTCCAGTAGTGACAGCACCCGCTACAACACAGGCTCCTGTCGTGGTCTCGACTAACCATGGAGACTTCAATCCAACTCGGGTCAACAGTTTTGCCATCACGGCGGCGAGGAGGAAACCACTGCCGAGAGAAACTAGCGCTGAGGTGAAAGCGAGGCATGCCGTCACTGCCCCGACACCCGTGGAACCCACTCGTCCGGCATTCTGAGTTGCAGCAGTCAGCAGGTCGTCGTCTGCAGTCAGTGAGGGCTCAACTGCAAATAATGCAGCTTCTCCAAAAGCAAAACCTGCTGCTGCACTTTGTAGGATTGTATTCACTGCACAAGAAACACCTGTGAGGGGTAAAGACACAAGGAAAAAAAGTAAATTCTGCATTAGGAGTACTTTTACTTTAAATATATTACATAATACATGTGTACTTTTATTGGCAATGGAGTACATTTGTATTGTGGTATTGCATTGCTACTTTTAATTAAGAAAATGATCAGAATACTTCTTCCACCACTTATGTATAAACTGCTCCTGTCACTTTAAGAGAAAAGTGAAACCACTTGCGAAACTTAAAACCAGGAAGTCTGTCTGAACTATGAAAAAACAACAAACATTTCAACAGACCATTTCATTAACTACACTCCTGTGTCGACAATGTTGCTTCTCTGCAAAACTAGTTATCCATGCCCTGTCTGTACTCTGGTTCATTCTTTTAGGCATTTTTGTGGCTGCAGCTTTATTATCCTGTTCAGATATTAACTTTTAAGTCTGGAAGCAGCTGTATGGATATCTGATATCGTGGTGAATGTCTCAAGTTTTACTAAGTAGTTTGCAATGAACTTCTGCTTTGTTATCTTACCCAGACTTGTGTCTGCCATGTCTCCTCGTAGCTACCTCTGCATCGACGTAAGACTTCTTCTTCTGTTGATTTGTATGGCAGTTTCATCCACGAGTTGCATTGCCGCCACCTACAGTTTCCAAGTGCAACTTATCTATCTGCGGTTGCTTCAGTTATGAAAAGATGATTCAGCACCAACTTAGTCCTCTACAGCACACTTTATAACCGTGGCAATAAATGCCAAAAAGCCTTTCTTATCATGCATATATTCTGATTAACTCGCTGCACCTCTTCCTGTTTGACATCCATTTTCACCCACCAAAATATAAAAGTGTGGACTAAACCATCTCATCTTATTTGCAAGCTTAACCCGTTAACAGCTCACTTATGACATATCCACAACCACTATATAAACCAGTAAACATATCGTAATGCATGTTTTGAGTTTTTGTGTGTTTATTATATATTTAGACCTATAAGGGTTTAAGTGATTGTAATGGTTGCAATAACTTGTCTTCATCTTGACTCTGTGCACCTCCTGCTGGACTCTCTGATCAAATGGAAAACAAGAAAATAGAGACCAGCCACAACAGTAAAATGCTATATTACATAACAATCACTGGAGCAATTTCACTGCAGAACCAATACTTTGATAATTATTGCCACATTTATGCTGTGAGCTACAGATTATCTGAAACACTTTGAAACATACTGTAAAGGGTTTTGACCAACAAATACTAGTTGGACTTGACTCTCATCCGATAAGGTACCACAATGTATTTTTTGACGACTATAACAAACTCAAATGTAGCTCTCTGTCACTTATTGGCGTTGTAATGTAAAGCTATTTGCAAATGAATAAGTAAGGGAAAGGACTGATTACAGGAAAGGGCACGAGGCGAGTGAAAAAGAAGAATGGGACGCGGCTCGGATCGTATTTCGCCTCCAACTTCCTGCTCTGCAGTCAGCTGACTGAGCTCTGTCACATGACTGTGGTTTCCTTTCCGTTCGCAGCGGCTCACTTGGATTTCTTTACACTCCACCGGAGAGATTGTTTATCCCGGGGTTTGTTTAAAGGTCTGAGCTGTAGAACAAGAAGTAGATAAGGAAAATAAGAAGAAGTAGGCTAGGAGAGGAAGAAGAAGAGGAGGAAGAAGAAGCAGAGCACAGATTCGGAGTTGTGAAGCGAATCCTCTTTCGTCTTCCTTCCTGTAACTGAGAGCAGGTCACTGAATTTCAGTAAGTAACATAAACTATTATATTATCATGTGTGTAAGTGTATATCAGCAAACATTGTATTTGTATCCCCTATACAATTAATCTATTCAGTAAATTATTATATATCATACTGCTTATTATAAATTAAAGCTACAGTTTAGTGCCACTTATTAACATTATAATATTTCTCCCATGTTGTAAGAACTGTGTATGTCCTTTGTAATAAGCTCTGGGTTGTAATTCATTCAGCTGTTTACTGTGGCTGAAGTCACCTGGCAGGTTGTTGCGTGCTTTCGTCACACCCAGTCAGGTGAGACTCAGGAGGTGTACTGTCTTGTGTTTGAGACGACACACAGATGATATATTGACAGTATTCATGGGGTGGTTTAATCAAAAGCAGCTTTTAATTAAAATGCTTTGCTGCAGGTCATGCAGGACAAAAAAAAATACACTTTACACGATAACTAAACATTTATGCACAGTCACAACACCTTGACTTTGATGTCATCCAGCATGAATCATCGACATGTCTTCTCTTTACAGGGATGCATTTGGCGGTGCTGCTGTTTGTGTCTGCGCTCTCCGTCGCCACCTTCGCCCTGGACAATGGAGAGATGAGGGTCCCTCCCATGGGCTGGCTGGCATGGGAGCGTTTCCGCTGTGACATTGACTGTGAACACGACCCCAAAAACTGCATCGGGTGAGTCCACATAATGTGAATATAACAGAATGGAGCCTTTTCTTTCAAAGCAGGTGCTATTTAACATAGTTGTCTAGTCTTAAGGTGGATTTTGCTGTTAGAGATATTAATTATATTACTAGATCGTATACACAGTAAGTTCAGTTACAACGTTAAGCTGCTTCTCCTCACTGCTCCACTTACTTATTCAACTGATGAAATTGCACCAGTCAAACCAGCCACTCTGAACTGGCCTTCTATGCAATGTCTCAACTCCTATTCAGTACCTAACCGGTCTAATTCTAGGCCCTGAATCAGGTTTGATACAATTTAGAAATGAAGGGTGTGGGCCCGGCCAACAATAATGGCAGACAATCAGAAGAATGGTTTATGAGTAATCATACAGGTGTTTTGTGGAAACCAAAATGTGCATCTGTAATTAGTCAACAGGTATTTTTCTTAGAGTTATAATAAGGGCCTTTAAGTGTCTTTACATCTACTTTTCCTTTTTTGTGAATTAATGAAAAGACTCATTTGCCAAAAATGTTTTTGCCTTTTAACTTTAGAACTTCTTCTTCTTACCATTACAGTAAGAAGCACTGTTAAACGTATCACCTCATTCAACAAATACCCTAACATACTAAAATAAAAACCTAGTTAGACTGCTCTTTATGCTCTTCTCATTGAATGCTACAATGACACTGTTCAAATCAATTCGTTAAAGCTGTTATAATCAATATTTTTCTGTCTTCCCTCCAGTGAGAACCTGTTCATCGACATGGCAGACAGACTGTCGGAGGAGGGCTGGAGGGAACTTGGCTACGTGTATGTGAACATAGACGACTGCTGGTCCTCCATGAAGAGAGACGAGAAGGGGCGGCTGCAGGCTGACCCTAAAAGGTAATTGTGCAGTATATATACTGTACGCGTACAGAGACAGACGCACACAGAGAAGCTGTAGTTTCTGTAACTTCTAAACCCGTGAGTCAATAAAACAGTAAAACAGGGTAATTAAAATGTGACAGTTATACAATCATATGACTCGCAGAAACATTAGTAGTCAGTAGTTTCACTTGTCTGTGGTGTATACTATTACATGCAGCCTCAGCATATGATAAAGACTGCTGAACAAACAACTGCAAGCTTTTCTGATTCAGAGCTTCAATCATACCGTATACTGTCCGACGGCACATTTATAAGTAGAGCTATACATAAAGTGTTTTAAGGTTTTATACGTTGTAGTAATTTAATGTAATTTTCAGTGCAGCAAAAAAAGGAGTGCCCAAGACTGTGCCTTGATTTCATGAATTGTACGTCTCTGCAGTGTGCACTTTGGTATAACATTATAATTGCCTCTCCATCAGGTTCCCAGGAGGCATCCATAAACTGGCACGCTATATGCACGACAGGGGTCTCAAGCTGGGCATCTACGGGGACTTCGGCACACACACCTGTGGGGGGTATCCCGGCACCACACTGGACAAGATCGAGATAGACGCTCAGACCTTCGCCGACTGGGAGGTGGATATGTTTAAATTTGACGGCTGTTATTCTAATGCCACGGAGCAAGAGAAGGGTAAGAAAAGAGGAAGGGCCTCTCACATTGTCGTTGTTGAGATGTTGCTGACTTGATTTGACTCTTGTTCCTCTCTTGGGCAGGTTACCCTCTCATGTCAAAGGCTTTAAATGCTACGGGCCGTCCCATTGGCTACTCCTGCAGTTGGCCTGCCTACCAGGGTGGCCTGCCACCTAAGGTATAAACAGAATGTCTTAAAGTTTACATCATCACCTGAAGCTTAAGGCCTGACAGTTTTAAATAATTCATGTCGTTGACAACGTTTTCCCTCGTGGATGTAGCCTCTGTCGTGAGGACGACGTTCTCATAATTTAAATCCAGTTTGTATTTTTACCTTTTTGTGAAACTGATTTATGTTTTCAGGTGAACTACACTCAGTTGGGTGAGATCTGCAACCTGTGGCGTAACTATGGGGACATCCAGGACTCTTGGGACAGTGTCCTGAACATTGTTGACTGGTTCTTTGAGAACCAGGATGTCCTGGTACCTGCAGCTGGACCTGGAAAGTGGAACGACCCAGATATGGTCCATTCAAATGACATAATATTCAATTATTTAGTGTTCACTATTTACTATATCGTCCGTCAAAGAGGTTAGGCAGCACCAATGGTACAAGTTAAAGAAAAACAGTCAAAAAAAGTAAAAGAAAAACACTAGTTTGTTAAAAATAAAAGTGCTACAGGTACGAAATCTTATTTGATCTTTCTTGATTGTGTGATTTTGCCCTCCACAGCTGATTGCTGGCAACTTTGGCCTCAGCATTGACCAGTCTCGCTCTCAGATGGCTCTGTGGGCGATTATGGCTGCTCCTCTTTTCATGTCCAATGACCTGCGCACCATCAGCAGCGAGGCCCGCAGCGTCCTGCAGAACAAAATGGCCATCATCATCAACCAGGACCCCATGGGCATCCAGGGAAGGCGCATTATAAAGGTGACACACTTTTCCATGGGTTGTGCAGCTTCTTGAAAGCGATCAAGATGAAAAAACAGAAGTTAGCTGGTTTGAGTTTTGACTTTAGTGTTTAATTCTTTTCTATCCTCTCTCGCTCACATAATACATGTCTTCTCATTATTTGTGTCATTGTTCACATTTTCTCGTCCATTTCTTTCTGCCAGGAGAAGAGTGGCATTAACGTGTTCTGGCGCCCCCTGTCAAACAATGCAAGTGCATTGGTATTCTTCAGTCGTCGTACCGACATGCCCTACCGCTACCAGACGACCCTCAGCAAACTCAACTACACCACTGGCAGCTACAAGGTACTGTATGTCTTTAACGTTTTCTAGACAGTCTTCTAGATTCTGGCAGGCAATGTATCATCTCTGGTCCACTGAAAAACATTGAAAAACAGATCTACTACTACTAATGTCTTAATTATCTGTGTGCTGAGTTGAGAGTTTGCTTTCCAAATACGCACGAGTATTGCAGGAGAATCACATTGTCTCCCTCCCTCAGATCTACAACGTCTTCACTGGGAAGACCATGACGCTGAAGGAGTCCACTGGCTTCGTGGTGTCGGTGAACCCCACAGGTGTGGTCATGTGGCATGTGTCTGCGCCCGCCAAATGGAACCTGCGCCAGTTCTATAAAGGTGGCAGACTCCAGGGATCTGCATTTGACGATGACGATGAAAACGCCTTTCCTCGCGTCTTCCTCTGATCGCTCACTGATTGAACTTTATCACATAATAATCACACCACTGTTTCTGCCTCAGTGCTCTTGATGAAGCGTTGACTGACAAGACATCACACGATTATTGTTAGGTGATCAATGGACGTATTTCTCTCCTGAACCCTAAAGTGCCAGTGCATAGCTCTAAATTGTGTTATTTTAAAAGGCACTATCTTTTCCAAGTAATGGAGTCACTTAAATCTCAGGGGGGGGGGGGGCAGCCATTTTGCTTCTGGATATGTTACTAATCTCAAATTGTTCTTGTGATCCATCTCTTAAATTCTACACTTGCAATATGAATCAAGAGAAAATGTCCAAAACATAGCACACCTCAGTTACAGTGACAAACATTTTGGACACATTTTAAGTGTTTCCGTGCTTCACAGGGCACTAGAGCTGATGATAATTTATATCTCTGAGATCGCCAAAGTTGAAAAACTGATCGTAGATCAGCACTAAGACTCAGGAGTCTCCGCTGCTCTGCTTTTAATGAAACATTGCAGGAAGCAGTCTGTCTTAAGCTGTTCCAAAAAGAACAAAGAAGAACAATAAAGGCGTCTGCAATGCTAGTTTTTCTGAATGTTTATAGGAAAATTGCTCAGGATAATAAATATGAACGTGTGTTTAAGAAACGAAGATTTTTATAAGAAATGATTCTGTGAATTATGAGTTTTTGTCTTAACTGAAATATATGATTTGGTTCCTCATTAGGCAAAGGTTTGTTTTCCATTATGTTTGTATTCATTTAGTTGCGGCAGTGCTCATCTTGACGTAGACTTACCTCATCAGACTAAAAATGCTGCTCTGGAACTACTTATGTTCTTCAAGACTTTTAAAATACATGGTCACATAGAGGAACACTGTGCTGCCGTAGGACTTTTTAAAGACATTCTCCCATACGGACAAATGCATGTTTTACAGGAGTGGCCTCAACTCAAAAAACCTGGCAATAAAGGCCCAATAACACTGATGGATCGTGTTGAGTCTACTTTAGAGAGAGCTGAGGCTCATACAGTTAACACAAACATATGAAAGTGTTTTTGCACCACACATCAGTTTATTAGGTTTTGACCTACATGGTTTCAGTTAATTTTTCTTAAAATGCTAACTGCTAATGCTTATGTCTAGGCTGTTATTCACTTTTAGCTCTCACTTCACAATTGCATGGTAAGTCTCAACTTATGTTGGTTTTAAGTTTTGGTTCTGTGTCGGATACAGTTATCGGAACTGAGCATACAATTACATCTACTTTTTGTGTTTGTTTTACTGTGGGAGTTACTGCTTTTTTGGGGGGGTTTAGTGTACTCGACTCATGTGCACTGTAACTAACCGATTTATTGTAGACTTATGGAGATGAACATGAAAACAGCTTTTATCTGCATTTATACAGCAGCCTTCAATGCCTAACAAACAGCCTGTCAATCATAATGTAATTTGAGTCTTTATCTGGTAACTCATAGATTAGTTTGCATGATCTACTGAAAAGAAAGAGCATGTAGCCGACAAGAACACCGGCCCACATCCATATTTAGCCAGTAGAGGTCAGCACTGCTCTTCAGGCTGCATGGATGTGACAACATGGGCCTTCCAATCCGATCCACTGCCAAGAAATGCACCTGCTGAGGAGCACAAGGACAGTCAGCCGATTCAGCTCAGTCCTTTATCTCTCTGTTATGATTTTCTCTCCTCTGGCATCACCGTCTCCCGTTTTGAAATGCATAACAATGTATAAACTCTTTTTAAACTTAATTTTGTCCTTCAATCCTCTCCGCTCCTTTATCCACCATCTATTAATTCTTCATTGTATTCATTCTACCTCGTCATCGTCATTCCCCCCCCCCCCCATCCCTCCTCCTCCATGTCTCATTCTGATAAATCCTGGGCATAGTATCACCTCTGACCTTGACCTTAAAGCCCCGTGTTTACACACAGTCTCAAGATAATAGAGTGGTCACATGAGTGTGTGCATTAGCATGCATCCTACTGCATGTGCGTACGTATGACATGAGTAAACTTGCTTTGCGTGAATCACACAAACACAAATGCACACACATATCCCTTCTAGGTCATTTCAGGCCAGATCAGCTGTGTGTGTGGGTGTGTGGGAAAGATTATCTTTACCTTCCTGTCTTTCCCTCTCATTCGTCTCAGATATCCGTTGGCTGGCCGAACACGACACATCTCTCACTGTCAAGGTCCTCGCCGTCTGGGAACATGACGTGGGAGAGGAGTGAGGGAGTTTTGATAGAGAAAAAGAGAGAACTGTGCAAGAAGAATTTGAGCAAAAGGAGGAAGGGGGGGGGGGCTGGCGAGGAACAAGAGCGTTCCTGCCAATGCTCACGTAGGCCCACAGCTGCAGAGAGGCACAGTCGCCACTCCCGTCTTTGTACCCAACACCGGCACCCCTGATTCAAATCAGGGGTTGATCCCCCCTTCTTCTAGGCCAACACACTCGTCGTTGTTGTCACGCAGCAAGTCACGCTCTCTGCCTCACGCCTCTGAAATCCAACTCGGAGGAAGGGGGCACTGGGGGTGGATATGATGCACACAGGGCTTTGCATATAGGTCAGAGTACGTGCACGCGCTTAGTCTCAAAGTAGGCCGCACACACTCAAAACCTCTAAGTTGCTGCCACTGAAAAAGAAAAGTAACTGAGCTGTGTCTGCTTTGTGTCTACCTTGGTGTCTAACGTTTACATTCCTGTTCGCGCACTGTCACAAAAACTGCATCATTGTAGAAAAATGTCTTACAGTTTCTCGCATGCACAGACACAAATACAAACACTGTGCTCCTCAGCTCATCTGGGTGACGTCATCACTCCCTCCTGGTGCTGCCTGTCTGGTTGCTAAGTCATGACATTACAATCCCAACGTCTGATCTAAAGCAGAGAGGGTTTTATACAATGTTATCATATCCCACTGTGATGGTATCTTGCTGTTTGACTCCCCACATCTTTTAAACCTTCAATCAAATAGCATTAAATCTCCTCACATGATTCTCCGTTGTCACCAGACATGCTAGCTAATGGGCGAGTTTAATAAATGAATCTTCAATGAATACATTTAATATGTGATTTAAAGGTAGCTCTAGCACACATGTGAATTTCTCTGGAGGCAGAGGCTACAGAGATGGCAGTTACTGTTAAAATAGATTTTTGTAAAAAAGAAAATTGGTTTAATTAGTTTTAGCTATCTCACTAGCCTTATAGCCAGAGTCACGGCAGTTAAACATTTCTTTTGCATACTAACTTTTATATGGTAAAACATATAACAAACAGACAGAACATGCACGACACCATCGTGCTTTCTCTCTTCCACATTACTTTTTTGAAGTCAGTTTGTAGGTGCATCAAGCGTTGATTTGTTCCTGTTAGTGTAGATTTCCTGTCCAGACTGGATATTCAGGTTTAATATTAAACAAACATAGAAGGTCTGTAAAGTATTACTTAGCGTGGACATGTCTGTTGCATCATGCTCTTGCCTCTCTCAGTGCAGCATTGACGTCTTTTCCCTCCTACTTTTACTTGCTCATGCATTAGGCAAAGATCAGACACCTCCTCCTCTGGCCACAACTGCTTTCATTACACACATTTGTCGTCTGACTCTGTGGCCCATGAAGCAAAGGACAGTGTCCTTGCTGCAGACTCACTGTGTGATTTCTCCTTTTATCCAAAAGTACTGGGGTATTAAATTGATTTGGGTATGGACGTCTGGACGTCTGGTGGAAGGTTGTGCTGTCCTATTCTTGTTCTCTGTTACAGCAGAGGATGTCCTGCTGGCTGTATGGCGATGCTGTTGTTTCAGCTGGAGGGAGAATGTGTGGACATATATGATTGTGTATTGACAAGACATGTATAGCCAGGGGATTGTGGGAATTGGTGTGCATGATGGCAAAACTGTGTCATGCCTGCAATTGTGAAGAGAGAGAGTTACTCATCACTGATTGAAACTTATATGACTTCAGTGCAAAATCTTTTCATGAGCTAGCGAGTTAAACCTCCAGGTTTTGATGTCTGTGACCACCTGTGAAATACATTTGTGGTGCGGATTTTTATGAATGAATGTCTGGATTTGTCCACCAGTGGCTGCTGTTCACTCAGTAAACAGACGCGCCTGGTAACTGTTTCCACGACGCTGCTGTGTACGAGGCAGGCTGCACGTTGCAGAGGCGTTGGGTTCGCATGGCAACTGGCCAGGCTGTCAGCTGTCTGCTTACTGGCAGCCTGAGTGGGTCAAAGTCAGAAACTGCAGCCAATGCAGCTCGCGCTCGCGCTCACACTCACACTGTCTCATTCTTTCCCTTTCACTCTATATCTGCCTTTCCTGTCTTTTCAAACACATTCACACACGCTCAACCTTGTCTCGTTTTCTCTCTCATCTCCTATACACACAAACCTCTATATCCTGGATCCCACTGGGAACCGTGGCCACGTTTGCCTTCCTGCAGACGCACTGTATATCTGTGAGAGTGTGTGTGTGTGGTCACCCCATTCCCTCACTGTATTTCTCTGTTCCACTGTAATCCCTGTCTTGAGGATTTCTGTGTCAGATTCCGAAGCCTTTCTGGGCACTAGAACAAAACACCCATCTTCCCTTTCACCGGCTGGAGCAGAGCACAGCCAACACAGCAGCAGGATTTGGCCTGCATCGGCCTGAAGGAGAATGGTTGGAAAGGACTGGAAAGAGCAGGTGGAGTTATTTGGCAAGTGTGTTTTGTGGGCGCGCATGTGGCGGGGGTCACGCGGAAAGAAACTTGTCAGATTTCCGACAGATATTTGATACACATTCGAGCAGCAACAACTTGGTAGGTAACATGACGCCATTTGAGCTGCTGATAATGCATCTATTTTTGGGTGAAGCCTCAACAACAGCATGATGCTGTAGAAACATTGGCTGACAACATTAGTTTGCAAAAAGGAGTCACGTGTGGGGGTAGCATATAAAAATAGAGACGCGATCGGTCAACAATGCTTTTCATAACCTTCAGCCTGGCCCTGCGAATAACCATGTGCATGATTTACTGTGCTATTTTTGTTTGTGTCTATCAGCATCAGCTTTTTAATGCATCTGGATTCTTCAGCTTACCTGGGGATTGTCGTCTCATCTTCCTCAGCTTGACAGACAATCTGTCAATCTGTCACTTGGTCGTACGGTAGCACTGTGATTAACTGTGCCTGTGTCTATGGAAAGGTGCCCTGAAGACTGGGGTTAATGATATTTTCATTTGCCCCAATCACTAAATCACCATGGTCGAACCATGGTGATTTCTGCTCCTCTCAACCGACACTGTCAAAGTCCTGCTAAACCACATCGTTTCACTACATTATTAACCATGCTAGCATGCTAAAATGTTCATGGTTCCCAGACGATGAATCGTAATGACTTTGGTGATCCTCTGACAGTTTCCTTTAGCGGCACGATGAGGTTAAAATTCCAAGCGTCCAACTATAATTGGTGTTGAGTGCTGATTAGGAAATGTTAGCATGTTCACACTCTAAACTAAGGTAAACATGGGCAACGTTACACTAAACATCAACATGCTAGCATGCTAACGTTGAGCGTCAGAGAGCTGTTTGCGCGGCTGTAGACTCTCAATCGCGTAAATTTGTTCATTGTGGTTTTAAAATGTTTCATAGTTGTCACATAGAGCAGCTGCATTGACTACAAGATGACTGCAGTTTGTAGCTGCAGTGAAAACTCTTCATAAAACA